AGATTGGAAATAAGACCGTTTATGTTAGAAACATTACTTTAAATACGAAGCGCCACTACGGTCTGAATGTTAAGATGTTGAACTATTATATGTGTATTCATTTAAATGAATTAATTTCAGAAATTATAATTGCGTGCCGATATGATTATCTTAACATTCAGACCGTAGTGGCGCTTCGTATTTAAAGTAATACTTTTTCAATTTAGACAAATGAAAATTTTATCATAAATACAGTTAAATGTAACGAAGTTCAGTTATTTTATTCCATTGATCTACATTTCTGAATTTTTATGGTAATTGTCATAGTTGTGTGCAATAATAACGAATTTAAATAAAAATAAACTAAATAAATGAACTAAATAAATAGATTTCAAAACAAAAATTGTAGTACAAATGCATTTTTTAATTATTCGCAATATCGGATTTAGCGATGAAATAGGCGGTGAAAATAGGAGAATAATGATGTGATAATAGGAGAAACTTGAAAATGCAATATGTATGAATAATGCAATGACCTCAGACGTTTAATCGCATTCAGCTATATACTCGTCACTTTTCTGTCCAAATTGTCTGCACAAATTATCAACCTTGTTGCTGAAATTTCTAAATATGACATGTCTAAACATACTTCTTACTTTGGGAATGAATAGATTTCATTTCCAATTTAATATTTTGCCGAGAACACGAAAGATCGATAGAACAGATTCATTTGATTACAGGTAGATTTCCAAATGTGCGTTTACGCAACGCCAACACTCGATTTATTATTTTTTCTCAATACAAGTCCTTCCTTGGATGTCATGGAAAACAAGACAAATATTCTATTAAACGAATACCTTGGCACCTAAATAAATCGAATATTAATTTCAATGATATCAAGATTTATTTTTAAAAATAAAAAATTAATTGGAATTCTCAATACACGATCGCATGACTATGAAAGAATTGAATTGCAAGACGCCGCCGCCTACTATGGAAGAACTGAAAGCTACCATGAAGCAAAAAGCTGACTATGGAATGATAATATTCTTCGTCGTTTTACCATTTATGCTGTGCTGTAAGACTGAGGCGACAGATATAGATGAATTATTGAGCACTGGTATAAATCCAGGTATCAAGAACGAGATTTATAAAAAGTTAATGCTAAAAAGACTGCCACTGTATGACGAATGGGGTTTATTGGATCTCTAATACAACACAACACGCGTGTCAAAATTTTTCGTACATATCATAAATATTATATTCGACGAAGTCTTAATGCGTTCATTAACGGCATACACGTATGCTGTATTAAAAGAAGAAAAGAACAATCGGTTTTCCATTAATTTAAACAGATCTCAAATGGAATAAAATACAGCCGTCTTAAATATGGATAAATATAAATAAAGATACCACAATAAAGTAAATGAAAAAAAGCGCTGAAAAAATAGCGAAGAAAGATGAAGGAAACAATAGAAACATCGGAATGAGTTTGTGAAGGAAACCAGAGCAGGAAAGAAAAGAAAAAACATAATGAAAATTTCATCGCGAGTAAATTATTGTCAAAAATTATATTTTTAGTGCGATGGGAAGAACAATAATTTGATGACAAAATTTTGCAATTCCACTTTCAGAAATGGCCCTAGAAACGTCGACATGGCTGAATCTATGCTTCGTGGAGAACATTCTGCGAAAATCGGAAGATGACAATTCGATTCAGGTGACAGATATATTTTCGAAACCAGCCACGACCAAGGGTGACAACTACACCAGCGACATGATCAGGATTACTGCCGAATATTCGCGCGACCAAGACAGCCATAGGATTAAAGAGAAAAAATCAATTATCCTCAAAATCTTACCTGAACTCGGAAGTGTCCGACAAAAATTGGTAAGTTGATTTAGCGAGTACAATTTTTATAATTTAGAGAGGAAAAAGAGAAAGGAAAAAAGAAAAGAGAGAGAGAGAGAGAGAGAGAGAGACAGAGAGAGAAAACTGAGACAAATTTTATTATTTCCTAGTACATTTCTATATATTCAACAGAAAGATTAAAATAATTATTCTTATGAGATCAGTAATTAAAATTAAATTATTTTTATAAATCATTTCTAAGGAAGCAGATAACATGCACGGATATAAAAATTTTTTTATCCGTTTAATAACAAATTTAAAATTCGAAAATTCCTAGTACACAAATCTTATACAGGTCTTTATATTAAAATTAATCGCATGTTTGTTAGATTAAAACATTCCATTTATTAATCTTGAATAAACTTATTACAGGTCATAGAATCAGGTCTCTTTCATACCGAAATGTCGATGATGTCAAATACATTGAATAAAATGATTAAGTTGTTAGAATTAAAGTATCGCTTGAGTGGAAAAACTCTCTACGTGCAAAATGAAGATCCAATGCTTCTAGTGATTGAAGATCTCGCGGCTATCGGCTTCCGAATGGCTGATCGTTTGTCTGGTCTTGACCTAGATCATTCTATATTGGCGCTTCACGGACTTGCAAGGTTTCATGCAACCTCCGTAGCCCTATGCGAGAAGGTAAATCATCAAGCGATACTTACAATCAGTCGTAACGTTTCGATGCAATTAATAATAATTCAAATTACGACACGGATATAAGGACAAGTTTATTTTAAAATGTCTTTTCAACATGCGTGTTACCTGGGCTATCTCAAAATTTTCTTTAAAATAATATTTGTTTTAAATTTGTCAGAAAATGATATTAAAATTATTGTGTAGATTTTTTTGTATCTTTTGATGTATATAATATACATTCCACATTTCTAGTCTGCACTATTATTTAACAATTTATAATCTAATGTATGAATGTTCTTTAAGAACAATATTTTAATATTTAGGAACCAAAGCAAAAAGAAATGTATTCGAAAGGACAATTTAACAAGCAACAATCATCAGAAATGAAGGATATTTTCATTAAGTGTACTAAAGGTTTAGCAGAAGAGATTGCACACTGGCCTGAAGTAAAACAGTAAGATTTGCGTAAACGATAATAGTCATTGCTCTATTTTTTAATGTTCATGATAACATTTTATATGATACAAGATAAATATTTAATATAAAAAAACTGAACATTAAGCAGAAAATGGCAAATACAAATATTATACATATTATGCTGATCATGGTGAATTTATACGGCTTTTACATAATTTCATACAATTTTGCATTTATTTCATTTGTATTGCTATAGATACTCGGAAAAATTAGCTAAACTCTCCGATCGCATATTTCAAATAGGAATAGATGCAACCAAAGTCTGTGAGGAGGAATTTAATGTTATTACTCACGGTGATTTTCACGTGAACAATATGTTGTTCAGATATAACAATGATGGCAAACCTATTGATCATATTTTTGTAAGTATCATCATATTTACGTTGAAAATATACTTTTTCAACAATAATTAGATTGGAAATAAGACCGTTTATGTTAGAAACATTACTTTAAATACGAAGCGCCACTACGGTCTGAATGTTAAGATGTTGAACTATTATATGTATATATTCATATTAAATGAATTCATTTCAGAAATTATAATTGCGTGCCGATATGATTGTTGGACTTTCAACGCAATCAATCTGAAATATTAATAATCCCCCTAAATTTCTCAAACATTCTTAACATTCAGATCGTAGTGGCGCTTCGCGTATTTAAAGTAATGTTTCTAACATAAACGGTCTTATTTCCAATCTTATTATTGTTTAAAAATTAATGTTAAGATTTAGTTAAATAAAATTAGATATTATAACAGAATCATATTTATATTATATTATGTTATAATCGAACCATATTTATAACGACATATTATAAAAAATATAAATAATATAAGAAAGGAATATAAGAAAACAATATTTCTAAAATAAAAAAAGAGCATTTTTTAATAAATCCTAAATTCAATAAAGTAGAGAAAGAAAAATTAAAATTTTAGAGTTAATATTAAAACAATAATACGCATTTATAAAAATGGGTAAAAATAAATCAAAATAATATATAAACATTGTAGAAAAACATAAGTATTAAAGTAATTTAATAATCGTATGTTTAATGTATAGAGAGAGAGAGAGAGAGAGAGAAGAGAAATCTCTCATTTTCTTATAATAACTATTACTATAATGTTACATAATAACTCTTACTATAATATTACTGCAAAGTAGTTATCTTATGAGACCTGTTTCCAAGTTTAGATTAGTTAATAATCAAGATGAAATTCCGCTCATTAACCAAATCCTAAATCCTTTCAGCTATGTGTTTTGAACTTGTATAAAGATGAAACAAAAAGTAAAGCCAAAAAGTTTCTCATCCGCATGTTTTTAAGGATAAAGCGAGAATGACAGATCAGATAAAAGTTACAGTTTAATTTACGCGTTTATAGTTTACATATACGGCACAATACCGATGTAGAATTAATCTACTTATTTTCATTAAGCTAGAAGCCTTTAATACTATTATAGTGGCGTGTGCTACCATCATGGCCGAATGGATTAAAGTTGTAAGTTTTCATTCTTCGTAACACACATAATTCGAAGATTCGTTGACTTTCCTATATGGATCAAGAATAGAATAATAACAACATATAATCGTAACAATGCAATTGATGCAAACGAGGAAGAGAAATCGAAAATAATATATATTTATTCTTAAAAATTGAAAGAAAATGAAAAATCCTAATAACATGTGAAGGGCAGAGCCAAATGAAGATAGGTGAATTATTCGGATAGCAACATCTGCTGGGAGCATGATAACAGATTAAATGTCATTAGACATACACGTAAATACCTCTACCGAAAATCAACATATATTAGTAAAATAAGTAATGTTATTAAAAGAGATGTACATAATATTATTCTATAATACTATTGCGAAAATAATATAGAAATTAATCAAGATACAAAATAAAGTATTTTGGATTCTACTAACATATATAAAATAGGTATAAGAAAAATTGAAAGAATATTAAAAGTAATAAATAATATATAACTGGATATGATTGTACGATAATAAAGTAACCTATATAGTCCGCCAGAGTGCCTGCGAGCATTGCGATTTTTTAATTTTTTGTCAAGAGTTTAAAATTGCACGCTATTGGTCAACTTGAAAAGAGAAAACATTCCTAAACATTTAATTTTGCTGACCATGGGTTAAATTCATATTCTAATCTTTTATATGCAAGTACTACATTACAATTATGGTAATCGATTGTCATTGATTAAGTTGACTATTAATAGCAAATTTTTAATATTAAATTCATTTTAATATTAAATTTTATTTGAACTGTCGCACTTGTTTGAAGTGTTGCACTTGCTTTTCTCGCCAGCGATAATCCCCCTCCCTCAATGTGTATAATTTTACAGCAAATATACTATATTAAATAATGTCAAACGATTCATAAAATGAAACAGAAAATATACAATAACAATTAAGTGAAATTAATCTGGAACAAAATATTTGATAGATATTTTACAAAACAACAAATTCTTTTAAATAACAACGATTAACTCATGGCCTTAGTGTTTGTTTTTGTGCAACGCATTGTGTATATGCACTGTCGGTGTGCTATCATTCAACTTCAAACTCTTATTCCAGCAGGTCAGTGCCACTCCTTCTATCTTCAGTGTTTTTTTTTTTTTTTAGAACGCAATTGCGATAAGTGCTGTATAATACAAAACGTCATATTTTACACAATCATTCACTGTACACAATTACTGATTAGCACGGTTGTTAGCTGATTCCTTAAATGGATCAAGATGACAATCATATATTACAGATGTTTCATATGGTTTAATCATTTAGAATCACGATACAGAAAGGATTTATAATTGTTCTGCGATATT